GTTGAAAAAAAAATTTTTAAAAAATAAATAAATAAATAAATAAACTAAAAAAAAAATCCTTTAAATAAACTTCTCTCTCTCTCTCTCAAAATAAACTTTAAAAAAGAAAAGAAATTGAAGATATAAAGAACCAAATGAAAGGTTTATAACTGAAAACTACAATAACTGAAGTCAAAAACTCACTAGATAGGCTCAATAGCAGAATAGAGATGATAGAGTGAACTTGGAAATAGAAGTATAGAAATGACCCATTGTGAACAAGAATAAAAAATAGACTGAAGAGCTATGAGCAGAGCCTATGGGACCCATGGGACTAATACCAAAAGATCTACCATTCACATAATAAGAGTCCTAGAAGTAGAGGAAAAAGTATGGGACTTAAAAAAAGAATATTCCAACTAATAATGGCTGAAAAATTTGCAAAAGGTATAAACCTATAGATTCAAACAGATGAGAAAGTCCCAAACAGGATAAACCCAAAGAAACCCATGCCAAAACACAGAGTAGTAATCAACTCCTGAAAATTAAAGAAAAAGAAAAAAATCTAGAAAGCAATGAGAGAAATGATACCTTGCCTATATGGGAAAAACAATTAGAATGACATCAAATTTCTCATTAAAAACTCTGGAGACAGAGGGAACTGGTGCAACATTTTTCAAGTGCTCAAAATTATAAACAGAATTCTGTATCCAGCAAAATTGTACTTCAATAATAAAGCAGGTAAAAGATATTCTCAGATGAAGGAAAGCTAAATGAAATTTGTCTGCTGGAGATCAGCCCTGAAAGAATGGCTTAAAGGAAGTTCTTGAAATGAAAAGGGAATACAAGATGGAAAGTTGGAACATCAAAAAAGAAAAAACAGTAGAAAGATTAAGAATATAGGTAAATACAATAGATGTTAGAAAACTTTAGTTTTCTAAAGTTTGATGTGGTTCTCAAAGTGTGTAGAGGAAATCTTAAAATCTTGTCTTACATGATAAATGGGGGAAAGGTAAATGGCTGAAAGGGAGGTAAGGTTTCTACCCATCACTCTAACTAGTAAAATGTTGACATTAATATCAGTGATATATGTATAATCCATGTTTGTATGTGTAATGTAATAACTAGAGTAACCACTAAGAAATCTATACAAGGAGATACAGTCAAAAACATTATATATAAATCGAAATGAAATTCTTGTTATATATTTTAGAAGTCAACAAGAAGAGGGGCGCCTCTTCTTGGTTAAGCGTCTAACTTCAGCTCAGGTCATGATCTCACGGTTCATAGGTTTGAGCCCCGCATCGGGTTCTGTGATGACAGCTCAGAGTCTGGAGCCTGCTTCAGATTCTGTCTCTGTCTCTCTGCCCCTCCCCTGATCTCTCTCTCTCTATATTTCTCTTTCTCTCTCTCTTTCTCTTTCTCTCTCTCTCTCTCAAATATAAAATTTAAAAAATTTTTAAAGAAGCCAGGAAGAAGAAAATAAGGAAATGAAGAACAGAGGAACAAACAGAAAACAATAATGAAAATAGTAGGTTTAACCCTATCAATAATTACATTAACTGTAAATAGCCTAAGTGCACTAATTAAAAGACTGAGGTTGACAGAGATTTTTTTAAATAACCCACATGTATGCTGTCTTCATGAAATTCACTCATATAAAAATATAGGTAGATTGAAATGAAAATTTAAAACGGGAAAAGATACACTATGTAAAATTAATCTTAAAAAATCAGAAGTGGCGACATTAGAGGATGGAGAGGGAAGATGGCGGCGTAGGAGGATGCTGGGCTCAC